GACCGCCACCGCCTGCGCCGCGACCGGCCGGTGAAGCCCAGGTAAGCACCAGGAGCGCGCCGTCTAGGGACACTCGTGGAGGGGGATTTCTGAGCCGAGCCTGCGGTGCCCGTATGGAGTGAGTTCCCCGTGCCCCTCTGGGCTGGGCCACCCATTCTGACACCTGAAAGTTAGGATGCCCGACGCGGCCAGACCACAGCAGAGCCGTGGCTCCAGAAAACCTGGGCGCCCTCTGCCACTGCGCCGTCACCTCCTGCCTGGGGCTTCGTCGCGCTGGCCGAGGGGACCGCGCCAAGAGAGCGCTGCCGCTCTAGTGCCACCTGTCATACTGGTCCCTTGTACGCACGTTCAATTTTCCCTCCCTTGCCTCTCTCTGGGGCCCAGCCCGCTTTCCCCGCCTCCTTCCCTCTCCCCTCCCCGCCAAGCTGAAGTTTCCAGCGGCGGTGGCGGCTGCCCTGGCACTGCTGGCAGGGCTAGGGCAACTTGACCCTCCAGCTGAGGCTTCTTAATCCCCCTCCCCTGTGCCGGCGCGTTCTTCCCGCTGGGGGCCAGGGCGGGGTTCCTAGCCCCCTGCAGTTGTCCTGGGACTCTGCTTGAGAAGCTGAGAAACTGCAGGGCTCTGGGAAGAGGCTGACTCAGGGCCGCCCAGGTGTAGAGAGAGACACAGCCAGCGGCCCTGGCTGGCAGCTTTCCCCAGTGACTCCAGCCTGCCAGGCCTGCACTTCCCACGGCTACAAACCTGGCTGGGGCTGTAGGCTAGGGTTGGGCTAGCAGCACCCCCAAAACCACTGATTGCAGGATGAGAAGAATCCTCTGAGACGACCCAACCCTCAAGGGCACACTGAGGCCCAGAGGAGTGACATGACTTGCCCGGGGCCATGCAGCATAGGACAGAGTCAGGCTCAGGATCCAGCCTTTCTCCTCGTTCAGGGCCTTCCACTTTCTGTCCTGCCTCATGGGTTGTGAGCAGATTCCTAGCTCCGTGAGGCCAGGACATGCCCTACTAGCGATGGCAGCCTCCGCTGAGGGGCACTGGCCTAGGTGGAATTTGGGGAAGGGATGATATCCCCATAGTGGAGGAACAAGATGCGTCCGGCTGCATGTGGAGAGGCAGCACGGTGCCCAGTTGTGGGCTGGCACTTGCCTTACTGGTTTGAGCTGCCTCGGTGCTGCCAGGGCAGTGCCCACTCTGTGCCAGGCAGTAAGGTGCTTGGGGAATGTGCCCCAGAAGCTCATGCTTTGATGGTTATGCTCCAGGGACCCCCCCTCTGGGAGAGCCCCATGAGGGCAGGAGAGTGATGGAGAGTTCGCCCAGCTTCCTGAAGGGCACCTGGGAGAAGACGGCCCCAGAGAACGGCATCGTCAGACAGGAGCCCGGCAGCCCGCCTCGAGATGGCCTGCACCGTGGGCCGCTGTGCCTGGGAGAGCCTGCTCCCTTTTGGGGGGGCATCCCAAGCACCCCAGACTCCTGGCTTCCCCCTGGCTTCCCCCAGGGCCCCAAGGACACGCTCCCACTTGTGGAGGGTGAGGGCCCCCAGAATGGGGAGAGGAAGGTCAACTGGCTGGGCAGCAAAGAGGGACTGCGCTGGAAGGAGGCCATGCTTACCCATCCTCTGGCATTCTGCGGGCCAGCGTGCCCACCTCGCTGTGGCCCCCTGATGCCTGAGCATAGTGGTGGCCATCTCAAGAGTGACCCTGTGGCCTTCCGGCCCTGGCACTGCCCTTTCCTTCTGGAGACCAAGATCCTGGAGCGAGCTCCCTTCTGGGTGCCCACCTGCTTGCCACCCTACCTAGTGTCTGGCCTGCCCCCAGAGCGTCCACGTGACTGGCCCCTGGCCCCACACCCCTGGGTACACTCCGGGGGCCAGCCCAAAGTGCCCTCTGCCTTCAGCTTAGGCAGCAAGGTGAGTGCAGGGGCAGAGAGGGTACCTGTGGCTCTGGCCTTGCAAAGTGGCTCGGTGGTCCCCAAGCTGCCCTTCCACTGTGATGAAAAGAGAAGGCAGCACCGAGGTAGAGGGATCTATCAGCTTGAAGCTGTCTGAGGCCCCACAGTCAACCCCAAGCAAGCCCTTCCCTGAGCAGCTCCATCTCTCTAGGCCTCCCCTGCCCTCAGGTCATTGCAGCCACTGACTCACCCATTGTCTGCCTAGGATAAGGTCCTGGGAACTGTGGCCTTGGAATGTGTGGCTTGTCCTGGGAGGAGATGGGCGAGCAGACAAGGCCTCTCTATCTAAGAGTGGGATGTGCAGGGGACCCCATGGCCCATGTCTAGGGTACCTCCCCCATAGATGACTCCCACTCCCAGGGATGAGATTTTAGAACACTTAAAACTCAGTATGGCACAGGACACCAAACGACCCAAACAGACCCTGGATGCCCTTTGGCTGTGCCAGGCATTCACCCTTTAGTTCTTAGACTTCCTTGTGAGGAAGTCTGAGAAATCCTGGGGGAGGAGGTGGGGATTGCCAGGACAGTGTCGGAGGCACTCCAGAGACCTAGGGCAGTGCCATTGATTAATCAGAGTGTGAGGGCTTCGGTATTCTCCCTTCCTTCTTGCTTGTCAGTTCTGCCCATACATTTAGGCACGGGGAGCCCAAGTCAGCCCAGGCGTAACACTTTCTCCCCTCTTTAGGGCTTTTACCACAAGGATCCGAGCATTCTCAGGTTGGCAAAAGAGCCCTTGGCAGCTGTGGAACCTGGGTTGTTGGGTTTAAACCCTGGTGGGCACCTGCAGAGAGCCGGTGAGGCCGAACGTCCTTCACTGCACCAGAGGGATGGAGAGATGGGAGCTGGCCATCAGCAGAATCCTTGCCCACTCTTCCTGGGGCAGCCAGACACTGTGCCCCGGACCCCCTGGCCCGCTTATCCCCCAGGCCTCGTTCATACTCTTGGCAATGTCTGGGCTGGACCAAGCAGTGGGAGCCTTGGGTACCAGCTGGGGCCACCAACCACACCAAGGTGCCCCTCTCCCGAGCCGCTTATCACCCAGCGGGGCTGCTGCTCATCCTACCCACCCATTAAAGATGGGGGTCTTGGCCCTTGTGGGAAGTGCCAGGAGGGCCTGGACGGGGTTGCCAGTGGAGCCAGCGAACCCAGCGAGGAAGTGAACAAGGCCTCTGGCCCCAGGGCCTGCCCCCCCAGCCACCATACCAAACTGAAGAAGACATGGCTCACACGGCACTCGGAGCAGTTTGAATGTCCACGCGGCTGCCCTGAGGCTGAGGAGAGGCCGGTTGCTCAGCTCCGGGCCCTCAAAAGGGCAGGCAGCCCCGAGATCCAAGGAGCAGTGGGCGGCCCAGCCCCCAAGCGGCCACCGGACCCTTTTCCAGGCACTGCAGAACAGGGGGCTGGGGGTTGGCAGGAGGTACGGGATACATCAATAGGGAACAAGGAGGCGGACTCGGGACAGCATGATGACCAGAGAGGTAAGGGGGCTGGGAGGGGCTGCAGGCCCTGCGTGGGAGGGGGCAGCCGGGGCTGGGGCTTCGCATGGGGCGGGGTCCATAGGCTTTATGAATGGACCACAGCCAGTGGTTAGCCTCCCACCTGGGTCGCAATGGCTCTCTGGGAGTTCCTCAGCATCTCCAGGCCAGAGCCTTCCAGCAAGTAGCTTCTATCTCTGTCTCCTCCCAAGCCCTGGTGTGCTGGTAGCAGTATAATGACATGGTTCAGAGCACAGCTCTGGAGCCAGAGCACCTCGTCCCTGACTTTGCTGATTGGTAGCTGTGTGGCCTAGGATGAGCAACTTCACCTCTCTGGGCCTCAGTTACTTCATCTATAAAATAGGGATGAAGATGGCACCTACCTCAGGAAGACTGCTGCAAAAGTTAAATGCTAGAATAATTCATAGCAAGGGTTTGGAAGAATTCCTGGCACCCAGTGAACACTCAGTAAATGTTCACTGCGATGACTGCTTGTGCCACAAATCCCTGTTTGGGGATTGCTTCTCCTGAAGGATCCCTTGTCCTGCCCCAGGAACGGCTTCTCTCTTGGCCAGAGGGAACTGGATACTCAGTTTGGACTCTGCCAGTGTTAGGGCTCTGGGCGCACCCTGGAGTCCTCTGCTACACTGTGCCCTCCACGGAGGGCCCTGGCACTGCCGGCCTCAGCCTCAGTTCTTCGGGATCACTTCAGTTTTTCAGCTTCCTGGACGGCTGGGTGTGGATCAGGACTCTCCATGGCCTTGCTCAAATGCCCCTGCACCTGGCATGGGCCTGTGTGTGCCCTTCCAGGCCTCTGCCCTGGCTGGGAAGTTGGCCCCTTCGCCTTCTTGGGTTACTGCACCTGTGGCCTGTGTCGAAACTCTCCGGCCTTCTCACCTTCCAGCGCCCTCCGTCCACTTTGGGATTGTCTCCTCATGTCACACAGCCAGCCGTATCACTAAGCCTTCAGTGAAGCTATCCAAAGTCTACACTGACTGGATCCTGCACATGTGTCAGGACGATCGCCCCAGCTGCCCAAAGCCTTGGGCTCAACACACAGACAACCTCTTCCCTCGGCTGCTGGTCCGTGTCAGGGCATCCTCAGACTCCCTGCTCAGCCTGGCATGCGAGCCTTCCAGCTGCCTGGTCCACTCTTGCTGGTTCTGAATTAAGCTTCAGAGGCCTGGGGCGAGGAACTGGGCTGGCTCTGAGTGTGGACGGGGTGGGCGCTAAGGCTGGGATGGGGTTCTCAGCAGCCCAGGAAGCCCAGACTCCTGACCTCCGCATTGTCCCCTCAGGACCCCGAGACGGCCAGGCCAGTCTCCAGGACCCAGGACTTCAGGACATACCATGCCTGGCTCTCCCTGCAAAACTGGCTCAATGCCAAAGTTGTGCCCAGGCAGCTGGAGAGGGAGGAGGGCCCGCCGGCCACTTTCAGCAAGTGCGGAGGTGAGCCGTTGCCCCTGGATGCCTCCGGTGCCCTCCCGCCAGGGCTCCCTCCTCATCTCCCCCTGCCCTCTCTCCAGATCACCTCTGGGAGGGGAACCGCAGCAGGAGGAAGACACAGCCGCCAACTCCAGCTCTGAGGAAGGCCCAGGGTCCGGCCCTGATGGCAGGCTCAGCACAGGCCTCGCCAAGCACCTGCTCAGTAGTCTAGGGGACCGACTGTGCCGTCTGCTGCGGAGAGAGCGGGAAGCCCTGGCCTGGGCCCAGCGGGAAGGTGAACAGGACCTCCTGGGTCTGCATGGGGTCTCAGTAGGGGGAGCCCCAGGTGTCCCTCCCCTGACCCCACCCACACTGCCGGCTCCTAGACCTAAGGCAACCTCGGAAGAGCTCCTGGCCTGGGTGGGGACATCAGGAAGGTGTCAAACTGGGTACAGCCCAGTTCTCTGGGAGTTTTTGGGCTTGCTGGGAAAACAAGAATGAGTGCCAAGTATCTGCAAGGCACTGGGAGGTGGGGGAGCTCCTGAGGGGTTGGGGGTCAGGCGAAGCTCCTGGGCCTGGAGGGCTGGCAGGACCTGGGCTAAGGTCCCTCGCTGCAGGCGCTCCCTCTGGTCGCCTTTTCGCAGCAGAGGGAGTTCCTCGTAAGCACACAGCCCTGGGCTGCCGGTCAGTTTTTGGGTGGAGACCCCTGGGGCTCCCTCTTGCCTCAGACAGGCCAGGCCCCTTGGTGCATCTTCAGCCAGCTCCCTGCTCCCTGTCGGCTCCTGCCACTCCCAGCCTGGGTTCCCAGCACACACGCCACCCATCCTTCCTTTCCCGGCTCCCTGGAGCTTGTCATCCCCTCAGGCTTTGGCACTGGCTGTCCCAGTGTCTGGAATGCCCTGCTCCTCCCTTTCTACCTGGTGAATGAAAACTTACTCATCCTCTGGGGCCCTCTTGGGAAGCTCCCCCGCATTCCCATCCTCACCCTTCCCTGGCATTTTCCTCCAGCACCCGCCTCATGGTGCCACAGTCATTGCCATATTTATGGGTACATCTCCCTATCCAGAATGTGTGCACTGTGAGGCAGGGCCAAGTCCTGACCACCTCTGAGTCCCCTGCATCCAAAGGCAAGGCGTTTGTTGAACTGTACTCAGTGGCACCTTTTCCACCTACCAACAATGGCTTAGTCTGATACTTGGCTCTTAGAAAACCCCACTCCTGGCTGGGTGCAGTGGCTCCTGCCTGTAATCCCAGCACTTTGGGAGGCCAAGGTGGGAGGATCACTTGAGCCCAGGAGATGGAGACTGCCGTGAGCTGTAATCACAGCACTGCGTTCCAGCCTAGGTGACAGAGTGAGACCCTATCTCAAAACAACGACAACAAAGTCTCCTGGCGGAAATGACACCTGGGCATGGTTACCATTTCTGGTAGCACATACGGCTTGGAGGGAAGGAGGTGGAGGAAAGAATGTGCTAGAAGTGGTGTGGATTAGTAATTCAGGGCCAGTGGGGAAGTCCCTGGGGCAGGGCTGGGTGTGGGGCAGGAATGGTGGAGCTGAGGCCTCCACTATCCCTGGAAAGCTTTGCTGGACAGGATGGTTTCTGCAGGGAGGCTCTTGACAGGGCTGAGGAGTAAGCAGTGGGTAGCTGTCGAGGGGCTTGTCTCCCTTCCCTGGGGGGCCCCTCCATGGAAGCTGCTCCCTGCTTCTCCTGCCCCTGCCTGGATCCTTGCCACATGAAGCCTTCCATTGGGGCCTGTTGCCTTCACCCTCTGACCCTGTTCTCTCCGTGGTCAGCAGGCCAAGGGCCAGCCGTGACAGAGGACAACCCAGGCATTCCACGCTGCTGCAGCCGTTGCCACCACGGACTCTTCAACACCCACTGGCGATGTCCCCGTTGCAGCCACCGGCTGTGTGTGGCCTGCGGTCGTGTGGCAGGCGCTGGGCGGGCCAGGGAGAAAGCAGGTAGGGAGAGGAGCTGGGGGTGGGAGGGCGGGATGGAGCCCTCGGGGGACTGCTGCAAGCCTGTGGTCATTCGTTGACTGCCTCTCCCCAAAAAGCCCCCTACTCCCTGCGCAGCCCCAGCCTCAGCCACCGTGGCTCAATGCCCTTAGAGCAGACTTCCCCTCTCTGCAGATCAGAGGACCATGCCTGCGCCCTTGACCACCCTTAAACAAAGACGAATGTGCCCACTCGGTGTCTCCCACTCTGTTCAGCCGGCACCTTTTAAAACCTGCTGTAACACTGTGAAGTGGGTATTATTGCTTTTGTTTTCCAGATAAGAAAAACTCAGAGGATAAGTGACTTGTCCGAAGTCACAGTTAGTAAAGTGTTGCAGCCAGGACTTAGACTCAGGTCTTCTGATTTCGTCCTATTCTTTTCATGGTTCTCAGCTTTCTCCCCCTTGGCTCAAGTTGGCCATGGGAGAGCTTGAAATTTCCCTGTGTTCCAGTAGGAATGACCAAAAAGAGCTCCAGGGTCAGATACGTTTTAGAACATTGTCTTCCACATGGTTAGCCTCAGGGCTTGCAAAGCATCTCAGTACATTAAAGGCTGTGCATTCTACAAGCAAAGAGTGCTGTGTCTCTATGTCTCTGGGAAACCAGGTTTCCCAGAAAGCACGAGTTTTATGGACTATTGAGTCCCCTAATTTAGATATCGTATCCTGACCTTCTCTGACCTTAACCTGTGATTACCTTGATTTCTGGACCTGCAGCTTTTCCCTTCCTGCCCCACAGGCTCTCGGGAGCAGTCCACGGAGGAGTGCACGCAGGAGGCTGGGCACGCTGCCTGTTCCCTGATGCTGACCCAGTTTGTCTCCAGCCAGGGTGAGCCATCTTGGAGGGGTGGGGCATGCAGAGGTTGGGTCCTGAGAGAGACCAGCTTCCTGTCTGATTATCCCTCCCCCCAGTGCCATGCCCTTCTGCTTGGCAAGGCCAAGCTGCCTGTTGGTCTACACTCACCACCAACCTCCCTCTCCTGCCCACCCCCACCCCCAGCTTTGGCAGAGCTGAGCACTGCAATGCACCAGGTCTGGGTCAAGTTTGATATCCGGGGGCACTGCCCCTGCCAAGCTGATGCCCGGGTGTGGGCCCCCGGGGATGCAGGCCAGCAGGTAAGACCCAGGGCATGCCACCGGTTGGGTATCATGCCTGCAAATGACTGAGCTTTGCAGGGGTTTGGCCCCCTTTGTTTTTTTGGTGGGGATGAAGAGCAAGAGAGAAGCCTCTGGAATCAGGCTAATTCCCACCTTGGGGATCAGGAGCCATGCACGATCTTGAGCGCTGGCCCCTCCCACCCCCACACCCTGGAGGTCCTCACCCCCTGCCTTCCTGGAGCATATCTGCCCTACTCTGTGCGTATTCTAGTTCAGCGCTTGCCACATCATGCTAGAGGTGCTTGTTGGTATGGCCCGGTCCCCAGGCCATGGGTTCCTTTGGGTGGAGTGTTGGCCCGCCTTCTCAGTATCCCCAGCACCGAACACCTAGCAGGCACTCAATGTGCATTTTGCAAAGTTTTTATGAAGTTCATGTTCTTATTATAAAAGTCATCCATTCAAAATAAATTGTTCATTGAATGCATTTTGGGTGCTAGACACTGTGTTATATACCCATTGTGGAAAATTTGGAAAATACAGACAAGTATAAGGAAGAAAATGACGATGACCTTAATGCCACCATTAGTTTTGACATATTTCTTTCCAGCCATTTGTCTATTTTAGTAGACTATAGACCCTACCATAGGTAGAAGTCTATGAGCAACTTTTTTCCACCTAATGTTATATCCTATAGCATTTTGCTGCTATAAACACGATTTTAGGACTGACAAGAGTCCATTGTTCGTTCTTGTGGGTTGTGTTGAACTGTGTCTGCCATTTTAAAATCTCTGGTTGGATTGGGGGGTGGTGGATGGGTTTAACAGAAGGAATTGACACAGAAAATGCCCCCAACTCCACAACCTTCGTGCAATGGCGACACCCACAGGACCAAGAGCATCAAAGAGGGTGAGCGGCTCCTGTTGCCCCTCGGCCTGTGCAGGAGGGAGGCTGGGCCAGAGTTTGAGGCAGGAGGGGACAGCCAGCAGAAGTCTCCAGGGATTTAGCAACCCTCTCACCCCCAATAATCTCCACCACTCCCCTCAGGACACGCCTCCAAACACCTTCTTTGGCCAGACCCCCCCGAACCCCTCTTTTTAGAGGCTCTGGAGCTGCCAGCAGGAAAGGCAGTAGCGTGGGGAGACCCAGTGCAGAGCTGCAGTGGGGGATGCTGGCTGGGGAGAGAGTGGGCTCAGCCAGGAAGAGAGGGACGAGCAGCATGGGCAAGAGGGCCTCAAGGGGAAGGGGAAGGACCAAACGCGAAGCCCCCCACCATCTTCCCCCCTAACAGAGACCCCCGATTCCACTGAGACCCCAGCAGAGGACCGTGCTGGCCAAGCGCCCCTGCCTTGTCCTTCTCTCTGCGAACTGCTGGCTTCCACCGCGGTCAAACTCTGCTTGGGTCATGAGCGAATACATATGGCCTTCGCCCCCGTCACTCCGGCCCTGCCCAGTGTGAGTGAGGGCATGGAGGGAGGGCTAGGAGCCAGGGGACCAGGGGCTGGGCCTGCCCTCCCTGCGGGGCCCAGCGGGTCCTGAGCCACTGTACCCCTTCCTGCAGGATGACCGCATCACCAACATCCTGGACAGCATTATCGCACAGGTGGTGGAACGGAAGATCCAGGAGAAAGCCCTGGGGCCGGGGCTTCGAGCTGGCCCGGGCTTGCGCAAGGGCCTGGGCCTGCCTCTCTCTCCAGTGCGGCC